CATTCCTGCAGTCAGGGCGATCTGCTGCTTTTAATAGGAAGCCCTGCCGTGTCTAAGGTCTTCGGCACCGCTGGCTGGATGGCGCTGTGCACCTCCCTCTCTGCAAGGTTTCACTCGTGTGCATATTTGCTTATTCACCATCCGTTCATCCAACACACTTCCATTACATACCTGTGTCATCCCAGGCCCTGTGCTAAGCAGGAAAACAAAGACAAAATAAAGTCTCTCCTCTCAAGAGACTCACCCCGCTCGCAACCACAGACTCTCAGACCAACAAGTAGAGCAGAGTGGCGAGTGCTGTAACAGAGGTGGAGGAACGTCAGGACGTCAGAGGTGCCTCAGTGCACCCACGGGTCAAAGGAACTTTCTCGGAGAAAATTATGTCTGAGCAGGGCTTTGCAGGATGAGAAAGAGTTCACTAAGTGACCAAAGCAAGGAAGAGCATTACAGAAAAGGGAATACATGTGCCAAGCACATCAGTCCGTGACCTTCCACTGGGGAGCCAGATTTCAAGGGCAATAGCCAAGGCCTTATTTAAATGCAGCAAATGCAAACCAAACCATATTTCATTTATTGGCTTAAGTATGCTTTCTCCTAAGAACTTTGGCATTAGGTGCAAGCATTCAATAAGGTTCTTGGAGTCCAAAGGGTTTCAAGCCAGACCATAACCAGAAACTTGGCTCTGTTTGGTAGAGAGAGTAATTCCAATATTTTGTTCTCTCCCCACGAGGTGTTGACAGAGAAATGATGTCATTTTTATCTGGAAATTCATTTCTAGGTTTGTTACTCACCCCTTACCAGGAGAAGTTTTTGTCAGAAGTTTTTAAGCCATTTATCAACACGCTCTTGTTGACTCAGGGCATAATAAGTTCCTGAGACATCTTCTTCTGGGGGGGAGGGTGAGGGTTTAACTGGACGAATTTTAAGGTAAAGGATTCTCAACAGAGCTCAAGACTGTAGAAACACGAAAGGCTGCCACAAACGTGAGGAGCCTGGCGGGCAGGTTGCCGTGTAGGGCAGAACCCGCAGAGTGCTCCCGTGGCCGACCGTCTGGAAACGAACCCATCACCCACTAATGTCATAGAGGTTAGTGAATGTCCTAGCGAGTCTTGTCACTTTTACAGAAAACAAGGTCCAGTAATAGCAAGTCTTAGTACATCCTCACTTTTATTATAAATGGGTGTTTTTTTATAATTTTTACTGACGCTCAGTAACCATGCAAAATTGTGACCATGACTATATCGACATCTCTAGACCTATCTATCCCTAGATCAGCTCATGGTAGAAACCCACAACTGGGGCATCGCAGATCTACGCGTACAAAGTGATCTTGTTTACAGTATCCTTTTGACCGTGCCAATAAATGCCGAAGAAATTAACGTGTCACAATGTAGCTGATGACCGTATGCACAATTCCATGAGTTAAATCTGTTTCCAGTGTTAATTAGTATTCTTAAATTAAAAAAATATTTATAATGGACATGCCAGAGTGAATGTGGCCTTTGTGGGGTTGGGTGTTGTTTTTTTAAAAAAACAGCTGACACGTACTTACAAAGCACCTGTAAAATAAATAGTCCCTTATGGACTTTCTTGGGGACATTCTACCTACAGAAGTCTGCTGCAGGGTCAGGAGGCCCTGTACAGACATTCAATAGATTCATCGAGGATACACAATCCATGTGACAGACACAGGGACAGACAAGGCATAGTCCTGACCCTCGGCGCACATTCTAGCTGGTACAGGCCACCACCCAAGATGCAAGAAGGTGCTGGGGCTGCAGACACAGAGGCCAGGCCCCCAGGCCCATCATCAAGGCAGAGCTGGAACCACCCCACTGACTTGGAGGAGGGATGGAGGGCATTCCAGAACAAGAAAACAGCTGAGCGAAGGCATCAGGGCAGAGAGGGCCACGGTACAATCCGAAGAGTCTGGTGTTACTAGATTACAAAGACCAGGAAAGCCAGAGAACCAGGCAGGACTCTGCCCCTTGAGGGCTTTTAAAACCCACCTTGAAGCCGCCAAAGGCTAGGAGCGGGGGAGAAGCCAAGGTCCTTCTAGAAAGATTGCCTGGGTGTTCACTAGGAAGAGCAGGAGGCAGGTAGGCCAGTTGGTAATCTGTGGAAGTCACAGTGGCCTGGCCGCTTGGCCTAGGACCAGGACAATAGGAAAGGAGAGCAACAGAAACACACAGAACTCAAAACTCGGGGACAGGAATACTCACCACCGCATGCCTTTAGGGCCCACCCCATTGGAGTGGGGGAAACAAACCCTAATGCTGAGCCAGGTTCAATGCAAGTGATCCCACATGGGAAAGGCGTTGGGCTCACTCCCCAGCCCTCCAAGTATGCTGGCATACATACCTGAGATCGGCAGGCTGAAACTGGGGTGGGTTGCTGTGTAAATACTCTCTTGGGCATGCCTGTCTCCCTGTCTCTCATTCACTCTCACGTTTCTCACTGAAGAAAGAAACTATTAATGTTTAAAAAAAAAAAACTTGTCTTAGGCCAGCAGGTAACTTGGAGGTTAAGGCAGATGGAGCGCACATGACAGATTCCGTGGTTCGAGACCTGGGACCCAGTGAGCTGAAAATTATGCCAGGTGCATGTGTGTGCATGCCCAAAATTCTGAGGAGAATGGAGGAGAAGGGATTGCAGTGCGGCCATCCCCCAGGGGGTGATTTCTCACTTCCCCTCTCTCTCTGTCTCTCCAGTGAGCATGTGCACCCTATGGCAATAATAGGGTGCCATTTGTGACAGTCATTTGTTGAACAGCTGCTATGTCAAGCAGTTCTGCTGTGCTTTATGTATGAGGGAACTTCAAAAAGTTTCTGTGCAAAACTTGAATTAAAACATGCATTTTGGTGCAAAAAAATGTTGAAATCCATACTTAGTTTCTTTATAATATACATTTTCCATAAACTTTTTGAAGACTGTTGGAATGCTTTTTTTTTTTCTTTTTTTTTTTTTTTTTTACAAGTTTCTTTCATAAGAGAGAGACAAAGAGTGAGACAGGAACCCCAGGAAAGGTCTTGCTATGCCACAATTCTCCCTGAGCCCTCCAGCCAGCCAGGCTCATGGGTGTACCCAACAGGCAGGCATAGCATGTTCAGGTCAATCCTGGATCTGAACCCCAAACTCTCTCATATGGTTCCAGCATTGTGCAGCAGCACCCACTGGCCATATCACCATGGCAAGGCCTTTATTATTTGTAAGAAAAGGAAACTTGGGTCAGCCAGGTGGTGTAATGGTTAAGAGGGCTAGATTGGGACCAGCAGGTGGCATGGTGGTTAAGGGCACTGGACTTCCACATGGTCGACCATGGTTCAAGTCCCAGACCTAGTGGCTTGCTTTCTCATTTCCTCTCTCTCTCTCTCTCTCTCTCTCTCTCTCTCTCTCTC